CGGATTCTCCACCTAACCCCCGCAGCAGTGTAGGGGGACAGGGAATGGGGTTTAGAGTCAGTTCATCACACGTTATTTCTGCTGCTTCATCCTCCTCAGGGGGAGGGCTCATCACACTCTTCCCCTGCTCCAGCGTGGGGTCCCTCCCACGGGAGACGGTCCTCCATGAACTGCTCCAGCATGGGTCCTTCCCATGGGCTGCAGTTCTTCATGAACTGCTCCAGCATGGGTCCTTTCCACGGTGTGCAGTCCTTCAGGAGCACACTGCTCCAGCATGGGTCCCCCATGGGGTCACAAGTCCTGCCAGAAAACCTGCTCCATGGGCTCCTCTCTCCACAGATCCGCAGGTCCTGCCAGGAGCCTGCTCCAGCACGGGCTTCCCGTGGGGTCACAGCCTCCTTTGGGAACCCACCTGCTCCGGCGTGGGGTCCTCCACGGGCTGCAGGTGGAGATCTGCTCCACCGTGGACCTCCATGGACTGCGGGGGGACAGCCTGCCTCACCATGGTCTTCCCCACGGGCTGCAGGGGAATCTCTGCTCCGGCGCCTGGAGCACCTCCTCCTCCTTCTTCACTGACCTGGGGGTCTGCAGGGTTGTTTCTCTCACGTGTTCTCGCTCCTCTCTCTGGCTGCTGTTTCTGTCTGTCCCAGCAACTTTTTTTCCTTCTGTTATCACAGAGGCGCTACCACTATCACTGATGGGCTCGGCCTTGGCCAGCAGCAGGTCCATCTTAGAGCCGGCTGGTATTGGCTCTGTCGGACACAGGGGAAGCTTCCAGCAGCTTCTCACAGAAGCCACCCCTGTACCCCCCGCAACTACCAAAACCTTGCCACACAAAGCCAATATACATTCAGTCATCACCTCTGTTACCTTAATAACATGGTTTCTACAGGTTATAAACATTTGTTTTCACTTTATTAAGAGATAAGGTAGAGTTGGTATAAACAGGTGTATTATTAAATCTGACTTGCCAAATTGAGACTTCTGCGAACTCCGATCGACCACTGCCCTTGTAATGACAATAACAAGTATCCTGAAGCGTTTGCAACCAAAATAGAGGCAAAGAAGAGACATAAGTAGGTGAGATTTGAGCAGGATGACACAGGTGATTGGCAGATCCTAAAAGCTTCATCTTGTAGCTTAAAACCTAGAATGGCCTCAGTAAATCAACATGCCTCTATCATCTCAATTCTTCCATCTCAAAGCCATGACCGAATGTTGCTAACACATTTTGAATTTCTCCTTAAATTAAGAAAAAAATCAGGTGGCAAAACATACAATGCCAAATGGAAGATGGGAATTATAAGTGAGAAATAGAAAAGAAAAATCAAAGCAAGTAATTGTTTTATTGCAATATTTTTAAATTTCAAGTGTTTTCAATATAAGTAGTGACTAGCAGGAATTGCATAATCCTTCAGGAAAACGAACTTGGATCTCATCATCACAAAATGAAATTAATTTGGCAATGAAATTTATTGCCAAACTCGTACCACCAATAGTTCTCTCCAAGAAAGTGGTATTATTAAATGTCTGGTATTTACACTAGTCTTCTCAAATATAGCTTATCTTGTAGAAATAGTAACTTTTTGTTGTTACTAGTACTGTGGTAAGACAACCATAGGAAATACTTTACTATGTGATGGTTCAGAACACAGCAAACATGTCTACAGTTCAGCTCCCTATAGTCAATTTCTGCTCCCCCCACCTCCCAAGAGCTTTGCTTTGTTTTCTCACATAATTGAGGGATCTTAAGAGATTTACATTTACCAAATTCATCCTTAAGAAAGTGATTCTAAATCCATAATCTCCAGCCTGCTGTTTTTACTTTTTCACTGGCTATAAGAATCACATTCCCATCTCATAGGAAAATGTGTGCTCAACAATTTAAGTGCTTTCAAATGCCACAGAAAAAACTGCTACAAAAGTTGTATAAGTCTTCAAGTTCTATCATATTTTGAAAAATTACTTTCATGAATTGCACTATGGGCACCACATTTATTTTTCCTAAATACGGAAACATGATTCTCATTCAAATTTGATGACATTAAAAAAAAAAAAAATTCATCTACTCTCATTCTTTCAGCCAGGAATCAGCACAATCCAGTAATGCTTCAGAGTTAGTACTATATGGCATTTTTTCATCAATTAGCTACATCAGAATCTAGAATTAAAACTGTTCCTCACATTGCATGAGACAGACCAGGATGCCACCTAAGTTGTTCAGGAGTTGTGGTTCTTACGCCAAACTAAACCCAGACATTTCTTTTACTCATATTTTAATTAACATATTTTCAGCACTTCCAGTCTTGGAAATTAGTTATAACCATTAATACAGATGATAACTTTTATTCCTGCAAGGAAAGTATAATGGAGAAGGAAAGCAAAGGCGCTCACCTTTCTGAAATCCCCTTCACTCGACATGGCAGTGCGCTCTCTAGTCTCACTGTGCCTTTCAGCCTCAAACTTCTTGCTATAGTTGTGGCACCCACCACAGGATGTTTTTGTCTTTTCATCTCTTCCCTCAACACTTAATGTCCAAATCTTCAGGAAGCAGAATTTCTCACAGGCCTGCTAATAACCTCACTGACCGACTAATCTTGTGGCAGATCCATAAATAAGAAAATACAGGACCAAGAATTAAGCAGGTTGTAGCTTCCCACAAGCAAAGGAAACCTGAGATCCAGTGAATCACAAAGAGTACAGATGAAGGAAGCATTTCCTCCATGCTGCTTTAAAGAGGAAGGCCACAGCTGAAATTCTTTACACATCAGAGAAATGTTGCCCCGATACGATTTTTCAGGACCTATTTTGAACTCCTCCTATCCAATGAGAAGGGTGAAAAAGTACAAGCCAAATTATTACTCAGACCACATGCAGACAATGGAGTATATGGCCACAACTTCTACACAGCCTCTACGTCCAAGTATGTTATTTTGGTATCTAAAAAGAGAAAAAACTAGAAAAGATTTGAAGTGGTTTGACAAAATCTTTTTTTCCATTAGGAAATGCTGATTGTAAAGATGAAAATATTATCAGAAAACATCGTATCAAGATGTTGTCACCAGTATCAGAATATCTAAAAGACAAAGGCTTAGGGCATTCCTTTGGCTTGGAATAGCCTACTAGACCACACCAAACCCCATGAATATGTCCTTTTTCTGCTAATTTTTAGGATACCCTTACAGTAATAGGCACTGCAATCACATGATAGCACAAAGGGTTTATAGGCATTGTTTGACCCTGCACAAAATGAAACACAGATGCCGAAACAGTTATTTTTCTGACAACACAGTAGAATTACTGCATTCTAGCCAGCCTGCAGGCATAAATAGTAGAAAAAGCACAGAAGGAGCTATGGTAACAACTGAGAATTTTCATATTTAAAGGACTTGAAATTAAAACTATCTGTGAAAACTGAAAAGTAGCATGTATTGTTTGTATGTGGTGAGCGTGAAAAACAGGGAACTAACATATGATGGGAGTTTGCTTTTTTTGTTTGTTTGCACTTTTAAGATTCAGTGGTTAGGTTAGATTATTGCTGTTCCTAATCTGACAACAAAGCTCACAATTTTAAAAATTAAGTCAGATGCATCAGTGTCTGAGTTACTCTGGATGTATTACAAATGTCACAAGAGGACTTCAGAAGACCAGATGTAACATACTGCTTTAAACACTGCACCATCACAACCTCCTCTTACTGAGGTGTAGCACGTTACATTCTCACAAGTTCAAACTGCAATCACACTTTGAAGAGACACTGTAAAATGGCAAACAGTGTCTTGCACTTGTCTCAGTTTTCATTCTTCAATGTTCAGGTAAGGACACGTGCTTCCCCTTCTTCCCCCACCTTATTGTCTGTTGCTCTGGGGGTTTAGCCAAGGACAGAAGATGACTTGCAGTTCTGGCAATTCATTCTAGCCTCAAAACCAAAACAGCACCACTGTCTTCAATACTATCACCATCAAACAATAGTTTGTATAATTTCTAAGAGCTGTATTTGAGTTGCCTTACTGAAGGCCAAAGTGAATAGCCCAAATACTTTGAATTAATATTTGAAATGTCCCCCAACTAATTGCTCAAAAACATCTTTTGTTAAATTCTTACAAAAAAATATTTTGATCTATAGAACTCCACCATCCACCAAAACCAAGAGCTAATAGCAATCGATATATAAAATATATTTTCAGGGCTTGTTTTTTGAACAAAAAAATGAAACAAAGATGAATCACCACATTATCATACAAACCAGTTTTATCACTTTCACATTTACAAATATACATGTTACTCACAATAGCATTCAGAAACAGCCAGAGCTTTTCAGACAAGAACAAAGAAAATAAATCAGATACAGGTAATTCAAGAATATATGAACAGTAAACAAAATCATTAATACATTAGGTAAAAATTAAAAGTTTGCTCCCAAGCCAGTGTTCATCCTTCTGTAATCATCTACATCTTTCTTGTTTTGAGATGCCTCAGTGAAAGCTATGGCTGAATAAACAAAATAGATTTATGCAAGAATGACATAGATATGACAATTTCTAAGAAGAGATTACTTCATACAGGTATGGGAGCAGGGTGCTCGTGAATACAGCCAGGACAGCAGTGCAGAGAATCATGAACAAACAAATCGCATTCCACACAAAATGCATTCTGACACACTTTACATATGAAAACCTGTGTGGAAAAGATAGGAAACCAAGTCAAATTAGAAAAAAATTATCACCATCATAGCACTACAGTAGGGCAACAGTTGTGTCATCAAGACAGTGTAAAGAGACTATATTGCTAACATCACAGAAACCCAACTGAATTGAAGTTTCTAACAGCAAGTATGTCCAAAGGGCTGAGCTCAAGTGACTGTAGATGCTTTCAAATGGCTAAGAGTGGAAACTTATTTATGCAACTTGCTAGGAAATCCCTTCCCGCACTTTTACAGGCTTTGCAGTCTAAAAGGCATGACTAACAGACAACTCTAGTTAACCATGAGATAAACTTCCACAAATATTTTTCTGGTCTTTAGAAGACTATACCAAAGGATCATCTCTACTTCTGACACCCCTCAATGCAAATTCCAATGCAGTTCAACATACTTACACTTTGATCTTTCATTTCTCCCTGGCAGCCTTGACAATACCTAAAAGCAAAATTGTGTATTTCAACTGAAAAAACAGTCAAGGTTGTGTAAAACGGTGTTTAAAAAACATCCCATACACAGAAACAATTTATGGCAATTTTTTCAGCTATTCAACTGAACACACATGGTAACTGTTAATGGGAACCACAAATATTTCTTATTGCCTGAGGTGCCCCAAAATGCCCAAACATTCAGCAGTGTCTCCAGCAGCAAAGAAGCTGCTGCCAGCTATTCTTACTTCTGTGACAAAAAAATTACAGGGTCCACAAGTACACACATTATCACAAATATGATTTGCATACCGTTCCCCCTGATATTCTGCCAGGGGGACTTCCTGAAAGGCATCCAAAGGAAACAAGTGATGGTAAGATCGAGCCAGGTGAGGTGCAGACACTAACGTAAGACCTGCGAATAAAGAGACCTCAAAATTATTACAAGAGAAGACTCACTGAAAAGCTTTTCTGTATTAAACAAAGCAAAAAGGAAAAAAGATTTTTTAATTACTCAGTGGATCCGAGCTTTTAAGAATTAAAAAACAAAATTATTTGTTAGCTTCCATAATTCAAACCTGTAATCCTTTGCAGAATTAAATCCAAATATAAAGAACAAGCAAATCATCTGAATTTCTAATCTAAAGGTTTATCTCAGTCTTTAGAAGTACAATTACAATGCAAAGTTTTAAATTTAGCAAGTTTTTCATCCTCATGCCATAAAAAAAATGCAACCATAGAAGAGTCTTCCAATTAAATCTAAATGCACAACTCCTCTCTGGCAATGACAGTTCTGCTGTTTCACATTACCAGTTAAAATGGTGCCCAACTACAAAACTCTACTGCAGCCTGCTATAATACTGCCAAAGCCAGACCATAGCCCTGTTTCAGCTAACACAGGTCTGCTGGTTTTGGTTGGGATAATTTTCTTCATAGTAGCTTGCACGGGGCTGTTTTGGATTTGGGCTGAAAGCAGTGTTGATAACACAGGGTTGTTTTAGTTAATGCTGAGGAGCGCTTACACAGAGTCAAGACCTTTTCTGCTTCTCAGCCCACCCCACCAGCGAGTAGGTAGGTTGGGGGGGCACAAGAAGTTGGGAAGGGACACAGCTGGGACAGCTGACCCAAACTGGCCACAGGGATATCCTGTATCCTGTACCATATGATGTCATGCTCAACAATAAAAGCTGGGGGAAGAAGATGGAAGGGGGGACATTCAGAGTGATGGCATGTCTTCCCAAGTAACTGTTAAGCATGATGGAGCCCTGCTTTCCTGGAGATGGCTGCTGATGGGAAGTAGCGAATGAATTCCTTACTCTGCTTGGCTTGTGCACATGGCTTTTGCTTTACCTGTCTGTATCTCAACCTGTTAAATTTTCTCACTTTTACCCTTCCAATTCTCCCTGTGACAGATGCACTCAACCCCCCTTAACCAAACCAGCAGCAGTTTGGTACAGGCTCCAAAGGGGGTAAAGGCCTTAGCTGTAGCTGGGCCAAGAACTCCTCTAGGAAACCCACAAAGGAGCAGAGTGACATAGTGAAAGTTGTGGGTACAAGGAGTCTCATGCATACCTCTCCCATTGTATGCAATTTGACTATGACCCAACCGCTTTATCCCATAAATACGACAGCCTAAGCAAGCCTTCTCTGAGCTACCCCTGCAAGGCAGCATGGGGGTGATCTCCAGCAAAGAGATCTTTTACCAGCGACAGATTGTTGGATGAGCCCAATTTGAATTCTCCCTGGATGGCAACCAGACTGCACACCAGGCAACTCTCCCCTTGAGCAGGGATGCCTCTCAATATTAAGAAATACCAGTCGTTTAGCTTAAATAAGTAGGTTTTAAATAGAATGAATTACTTAGAATTACAACGTTGTGTGATTTAGTATGCCCTTCGCTTAGCTTTACATACTTAGCATGAGCAGCTAGATTTACTGAAGCCTTAGGCTGCAAGCTGTAAACTTCCACTTAGATTCACTGAACATGTACCTAATTAGTCAAAACAGGGGCCTCCACAGACAGGGTAAATCAGGAGACAAGGAGGCTTCAAGGCTACAACCATCAAGAGCACTTGCAACTCAACAAGATAACTAAAGGCCTGTCTGGAGACAGTGAAGGAATCCAATGAGTCAGAAGGTGTCAGGCCAGAATCACTACTGGATCAAAGGGTGCATGGAAGACATGTGAAGCGAGTGTGAAGAGTGTGTGAGGGGTGGGTGAATAGTCTATAAGGGTATAACTGCACAGCAATCTCTTTGTTTAGGTTCTTCCTTCATCTTCTTCTCCCCTTCCTTCTGTCCCTCCCTGGAAGCACCCAGCTGGAGCTGATCCTGCTGCTGTACCACTCTATTAAATTATTTATTTTTATAAGACTCCATGCCTGAGAGTCTGTTTCAGGAAATCAAGGGCTGGAACTTCGGAGTCAACTAACACCAGTTGCCTGGATGGATTGGTGATTAATAGCATGCTAAACTTTGAAATCCTAACCAAGTCATATGAGGGTTTGATTGTGCACATATAGTCTTTAAGACATAAAGCACCAACCAAGTCTGAGACTAAGTCTGGATCCAGCCACACCTGGACTCCTGAGTTTAGAAAGCAAGAGGGTCCATTCTGAAACTTGTGACTCAATGGGAGTGTCTCCCTTACCTTTTTGCACCTCTGATCTCTGTGCAAATAATGGAAAATCGATTCTAACTCAATTTTCCTTTGTATGTTTCTCCCACGTAGTAAGCAACAGAGTGAACCTTGCCATTGAACTCTGTTATGTCCCACTTTCACAGATTCTTTAAATGATCTAAAACACTCATCAATGACACTCCCTCATCCCACTGTGAGGCACTGAGGGAGGAACTGTGTTGGGCTTATTTGCCAGCTGGGGTTAAACCATGACAACAGTTTAGCTGGGGAACAGGCTGGCACAAACTTCTTCATTGCTCAATCACATGCCATGTAAACCTCCAAGCTCTTGTTCTGCTGGCCGCTGCAGCTGTAGAGAACCTGTTGCTGACGCATAGCATTTCTCCAGTTACACTATTACTTTGCTGAAATGAGACTCAAGCTGATGTGAAAACCTTGACACGAAACTAGGACAAGGTGATCCAAAACTAGAATTACTTCATCCTCTTGCCAAATACACGCATCTTGATAACACCCATCACATTTTAGTCCTATGCCTGTAGAAGCTAAGAGCAGGACAGCTGTCGCTCACACAATATTAATACTATAAAAAATGCTAATCCTCCCTCATGTCCTCATTAAGGGGGTGTTGGAGAGAGGTACTGTTGGTTGCACAGTCCATTAACATTTGCAAGACCAAAGGGCTTCCATTTACGAATTTATAGCCTTTCATGTGTCACTGTGCAGCCTGCCCTTGAGTTCAACTTTAAAACCTTTCATCTACATACTCCCATAGGTGAGGGGGCACTTCTGTCCTTTTACTCGAAAGCACTCTTTATCTTCATGGCCTGGCACTAAGGAGTCTGAAACATTGGTGTGTCTGTTAAATCAACATTCTTGAGGAAATTATGTTCATTCATATGTGAATCACCCTTTTTCCCCCCTTTGCTTTAGGGCTTTTCATTTATAACCTTATACTGGGGAATATGATAACAGCTTTACTGTTACAGGTATAGTCCTGAAAGTCCCTTGTATGAAGCTGACATCCCCGGACACAGGACTGTAGGCTTCTTAAAGCAGAGCTGGCTTTCAATTCCTAAGTATAGTTGATTTTTTTCTACCCCTTCACTCTCTTACCACTAACTCATAATTCATCTGCTCACCTTTTCTTGCTACTCACCACAGATTTTGCATTCCACAGGAAGTTCACAGTATTTGGCTCTGCACTGGGGACAGAAATACCCCCCCAGCGTAAGACCCGGCTCACTGTTGTTTTCCAATTGCCTAGAGCAAAGACAGACAATTTAATACCGAACAGATAACACCATACTACTACATAACTATAAATACTATGTAATTCTCACAATAAATAGGTTTAAAAGTTTCAGTAGCTTCCATGCAACAGTTCCACATGTATAGAAGTGTCAGAAAGCAATTGATAGGGTGAGATATCAGTAACCACATCTTCCCACAGAAACAGAACAAAGACCAAAGTTTCCCAAAAAGGAGCCCATGTATCTTTAAAAAATAGTTATGAAAGAGAACAGCATTAGTATTTCTACTTACACACTCACAAATATTCTGTATTGACTTTAAGATGCGTGTTAATACCTATTATTTCAAACAGCTGACACCATTTCCTTCTGAAAATTCAGACTCCCTTATCACTGCTGAAAACTATGCTTCCTTTCATTGAAAAGAGCTCTGGTACCCTAATCAAATCAGGCTCTATTTTAAACTTCCTTTTAAAGTCATATTAGTAAACAGATAAAAAATACTTTATTCCAGATAATACCCATCATCCTCATCATTACCTTTACAGTGATAACAATACTTGAGTCAAGAAATGCAAGTAAAATTGGTAGCAAGTACTTTAATACCTCGTACCACCCTTGTGTTCTAATTACTGCAGAACACAACTAAAAGCCATTTACTACGTACAAAAAATTTTAAATGTAAATTTTAAAAAGCATATTTAACAGAGGTAACTATGGCCACATACTGGATGGAAACAAAATTTCTACTGAGAAGTCACAAGACATACTCACTATTTTTTTTCATGTTATTTTGCAGTATTTTCACTGGGAAGCAGATTTTCTAAATATGATTAATTATTATTGAGTTCTAATCAGCTCACTGAATTCTAATCAACTCTAATCAACTCTACTTACGCCATACTAAAGGATGGCTTTGCATCTTGATCAGATAAAGAAGCAATAGTATGCTGAGGAAAACCTGAAGATAAAAACATCCCATATTACAAATTTTAAACATGCAAGTAATCTTTCAGTTTCTTACTTCAGTGGAGAAGTTCAAAGATTATTCTAAAGATTAAGGCCTATCTCTTTTTTTGTTTGTTTGTTATTACAGGAGAAGTAATACACTCTTATTAGGTATCAAATTCTTCCTGGAGGTCTCTACCTACATCAACCAACAAATCCCTTATTGTATTTCCCCCAAGCGAAAAAAATCTTTTCATAGACCTCACATTAACCGAAGCTCACTGGAACCCCCTTTTTGCAGAATAGCTAAAAAGAAAATGATGTGTGCAATGGTAGGAAAGCAGAAGGAGATCTACATGAATGTTCACTTGAACAATGCTTTCTAATTAAGGGGAAAATATTTTTACATGCACACAAAGCGTATATTCACCTTCCAAGTGCAGTATATTACAGATGAGACTATAGCACGTTACAGAGGCTGTAACGGATACCATTCTTTCTACCACTTATTTTTTACATGTCAAGTGGGCAGTTAATTTTTCCAACTGCTACTCATGCTTTACCTATAAGAAGTGAATCTCTTCAGTATTTAAATCTACACACAAAAATACATACATTCTTATCTGTGAAAACGGGTGGATGAAAGTGAGAAATCAATGCTCTAATTCATGGCATTAAAGTTCCTATTCTGGTTTAACTCCAGGCTTTAAATTTATTGAGAAATACATCAGGAGAAGAAAAGGTACCTAATCCATCTGTTGAAAGAACACCACAACATTGCTCCTAACAAACATGTACTACATGGCCAAACAGATGGCTCTTACAGTCAATTCAGCTTATAATAGTTGCCTTCTGCAGGGAAAAAAACAGAGGGAGAAACAAAATAGGTTTTTATCCTTCGTTTCTAAGTATTACATTTATACCTATTAATGTACAAACAATATCATTCCACTTTCTTGTTTCCAACTGCAGTTGAGTAGTAATTTGTCTTATTTGTTTTAATTCTTAACTTTATTTAAAAGCTGATTATTTTCCAGGAACAGCACCAGGAAAATTTATATCTATTTAGCAAAGTAAAAGTTAAAATAAAAAAACATAATTGTGCAATGTCTCTAACACAGAAAATGCAAAGAAAGAAAAAGACAAGATTCACAAATCTTGTACCAGGACTTTAACAAAACCATATCCTACCCATTCGAATAAGGGAGCACTCAGAGCTTGAACTGGCAGGTGGAGGACTAACATGATACATCAGCAGTTCCTTATAATGACTTTCATCTAATATAACGTGGTATGTTCCTGTCATGAAGAAAGAAATGCCTTATGATTATGAGCAGATAAGAACACAAACATATTCTCCAAATGACAGAAAACAACTTAAGTAAAAAAAATACAGCCAATCCTGTTCCTAAAAAACAGTCCAGTTAATGCTACTGAAGATGACAAGTTTTAAAATTAGTAACACCAGAACGTTTAATTAGATATGAAGGCCCATAGCTTTTTATCCAACATTACACTATAGTAATGATATTGTAAGAGTTACCACTGTTGTAATTGATATTAACGTGTTACAATTAAGTTCTACATCACATTTTTTTTAAAACCTAGTGTTCCATGTAAAAAGCTAAGTATTTCTTCTCTCTAGAGATGCAGCTACCAGTTCATAATAATTTCACTAAATACTGTGTATTTTGTAGATTTGGGAAACCCTTAAATTTTCTGCCAGCACAACAGAATATATTATCCTTAAATATCAAAATGCATTGATGCATATATGACAAAATTAGTTACTTGATTTTAATTTTAAACTTGTATTAGTAGTATAACTACTGAACTTCAGATACATACCACCAGTTTCTCGGGCAAGTACTGTACAAACTCGAACTTCAGCACTTAAGCCGATGATAGATACTCTGATCTTAACTGCTTTTAAGCACTTCAAATGGAAAAAGAAAGCATACTGAAATTCATATTCAGAACAGAAAACAGTAAAAAGGTTCAAAGTTATAAATGAAAAATAATTAGTGATGACACTGCAACTGTCTGGTTTTAGTCTAACAGCTTGGATGTTCAATGCAGTAGTCACAACTTCACTTCTGTACCTTAATTAGATCATAGATGTTGGCTGGATCACATGTCGTCAGACTGCTGAAGACTATCAAAACCTCTCTGCTTGTATGTCCTGGCACATGCCTAAAGAAAGTATATAGTTAATTTACTTCTGTACACTAAGCTACTTGTATGCTGAAGTTTCCAAGGACTTCAACATACTTAAGTCAGAAGATGACATGATATGAAGTCCCCTACAAATTATAAAAGACTGTGGCAAGATCCTTCTTAGAACACCAGAATTTCACCTTCCAAAAGCCAAACCTTTCCAGTATCTAAAATACAGTACTTGATTCTGTAGTTGTTATCTGATTGTTTGCTCTAATGCTTAAGTTATCCCCATACCTTCTCTGTACTCTCAGAGGCAAAATTCACCTTCAAACTAGCAACACTGCAGTAAGTCTTCCTGACTTCTTAAAATAAAAATCTAATCAGTTTATAGGTGTAAATCCATTACTTTTAACTACTGTCTTTTAGTTCTTAATGGAAAACTCTCTTCCAATTAGTCATTCAAATAATTTTATGACATTGACTACTAGCTTTGTTCTGCCAAGTGTTTCTAGCTACAATTATTTGTTAAAAGTCTTCCACAAATGTTTATCCCGTCTCAATACTTCACACAGCAAGAGAGTTTTTTTAAAATCTGTCCTACCTGAAAATTTACCTTTCTAAAGAATGCCAAAACTCCCACCAGATTATCGTGATTCAGTGCTGTTTCTTTTCCTTTTCTCTTAGCATTATTAACCCCTAACTCTGGCCTCTCTCATACCTTAGCCCTCTAGTAAAAAATAATTGCACGGTCTTTCATCACTATATTCATACACGACATAAAATCACCTACTTTAAAATATTGTTGCTTTTTATAAGCAGCACACCTCTAAATAGAAGCATCTTGTCTTAGAAAATTAAATTCTGCACTGCTAGCATGTTTAACTTCTTAACAGTTTGTATTGTGAGATGACATAAAGCTGCCTTTTAAAGACTCAGGTCAGGACTATGCAAGATGCTAGTTGTAAAAAATACTGTCTCTGCCTCTCCAAAAATTCAATATCAGCATTATACTGATTATGGAAAACAAAGGAAAAAACCCTCCATATATATACTAACTTTAAAGTCTGCATCGCCAAATTTAAGGAGTTATATAGAGATGGCTCTCCACTGCAGTTCATATCCACTGCTTTCTTCAGAGCAGTTACGTGCTTCTTTGAGTTGCCTGTAAGTGAAAAAAACAATTCACCTGAAAAAACAAGTTAAGAGAATTGAAATATTTAAACTATATATTTAAAGAAGCATACTTGTACAACAACCACTTTCAAACTGTAACTTGTATCTCTATGTTTCTCCTTAGAAATTGACCTCTTGATCAGAATGTAGAAAACAATAAAACAATATATTAACAGAAAGACATTTACCCTACAGGCACTCAATTGTTAGAAACTTTAAGAAGTCAAAAAGAGTAAAATAACTGTTGCATATCATTAAGCACTTAACATGACTGTGAAGTATCTCACAAAGTGTTTCAGCAGAAACAGAGTTTAATTTCCTCCATTATCCTCAAAGTACTGTTCAAGGATTGATTGATCCTCACATTCCTCAATAAAGTTGCTCCAGTTTTACAGGTGAATAAAAAGAAAAAATTAAGATTTCATATCTGAAGCAACACAGATTGCTAGTGACAGAAGGCAGGAACCAAAGAAACCTTGCTTCTTGACATCAGATCAGATCTCACAGAGCACGCAGATGTTGTAAAAATACAAAATTAACAAAGAGGGTGAGAAATTAACTATAGGGGAAACAAAACATATTTTAGGTGCAATCTGGATAAGACTTGATCATGAACAAGCATGCAATGACGATTCTAGATCAAAACAGATCAAAGTAAAGACTCTGGTTTCAGATAACTTGCAGTAACTTCTCTTTTAAATTAAAAATACTATGTTAACGCTACTTCACTTTCAGCAGTGTCATCCAGGTAGAACTTGTAACATCAACACAAGAGATAAAAACACTTCCAATTTAAAAAAAATACACTACCTCCCTACCTGAAAGTTCTGTCATTTTTTCAGCTCTTTTACTCTTGGTTACAATTAAGCCAATCTGGGAAAAAAAAAAAAAAAAAAACCAAAACTTTTCTTAGCAAGTTTAAAAATAAGTTGATATACAGTTTTGCTATATTTTGCCTAATACTTCTTTAGGGATCAGAATTACTTAACTATACAAGTTTTCTTGTAAGTGTAACGACAGGAGCACAATCACTATGCATCAGTTAACATACATTCCTGTATTTCCCATAGTTTTGCCACGAGGTACGAGAAGAAATCTTCTAAAATTCTAAATGCCTGAAAACAATATAATTAGTCTTCTGTGTTTGAATTTATGTTTCGGAAAAAGGGAAGAGATGGGTTCTTATGTTCATTAGTTCAGGCACAAACAAGAATTTCACCAAACTGATGAGGAAGGAATGGGAAGGAAAACATCAATTGAAAACAGTTTATTAGATAAGTGTTAAAACTAACTTTTAAAATTGTTTTCAGTTACTTGTTTCTTGCATGATTCTACATACCTGACTAATAGGATTTTGGTCAAAGTACTCTTCAACAAAATATTCCAATAACTATAAAGAAAAGTTAAGACAGTTAAAAACTACATACAGTTTTATTTCACAAGCATTAAGCAGGTGGTACTTGCAAAACATCCAGTATCATTTAAAGAAAAATAAAAAGTTGGGGAAAAAAAGGGGGAATGAGCCCTTCCTTTCCATTCTCCTTTCACCCTACCCCTTCCATCCTTCTCCTTCCTCCCATGTTACCAATGCAATGTAAATTTCAGAAACTAGCCACCACTTATTTTATTCACTTCATATATGGTAAAGTTCTAGATTACTGTTGGTTCAAATCAAAGTTTGTAATACTAAAAATACTAAAAGCATCAATCTGTACAAAATTATCAAACCCCGGGATTTCAATGCTTAGTGTTATTAAAGAAGACCATATAGTAGAAGATGTACAGTTCAGGTCCTCCACAGTCTGGAGCAGCAATCCAATTCAACCCCTGTCTAGCATCCATTCAAACCCAAATTCATCAAAACACAACTGTAAGAAAAAAAAAATTCTAGATGTGCAATGAAAGCATGTTTGTTCTTTCATCCCTTATTACGGGCAACACTTCAGCTTAATTTCCACATACTTTTCATACTGTGTCTTTCCATAGTACGTCCTTAGAAAATGTTTTTACTCTACAGAAGTACTCGTGCAAGGCAAACTAATGTCACACAGATTTTACTTTTTAAAAACTAGGAAAATTACAGACTAGAAACAGGAACAAGGGAAAAAAAGTAGGGATGAGAGGAGAGATGAGGCTATGCATGTAATCTAGTCACAGGAGACTGCCATTCTTTTAAAAGCAAAATGGAACTGGTTTACAGAGAAACAGTGGATTACTAAGAGAAAACTTCTGAGTACAGAAATACCTTCAAAGTGCAGGTAAGTCTGTTCGGTTTTAAATCTTGGTCCTCCATAGTTCTTGATCCATCAACAACCACATAAAGGTGACGCATCTGCATTTTCACCATAAGTGATAATCACTCACAGAACAAGTATTTAAATGAACGGTTCATTATTCCATTTACTTAAAAAAGCAGCTACTTCCTCCCTCAAACAGGGAAAATTCAGTATACTGAGCTATGCAATCAACAGCAACTGAAAAAGTAATGCATTTTTTCCACTTCTCCTTCAAAATGAAAAAAAGACTATCTTGAAAAATGCACACTGTTCCTTTCTGCTCATAAGCTACAAAATACGCATAGTTTGCACCTTCACCTCTTCACCTGAAGACCTCAGCGTTGTATAAAGTAATGTTGTCATTTACTACTCATTTAAATTATGCCCATTTTTCACATGAAGAAAAATTGACAATGCAAGTGTGTATGATCTGACTGCTGTAGCAAAATACACCCTGATACAGCAAACATGCCAAACCTCCACCACTGAATACTCATGCTTCACATCCCACACTGGCAATAAACAAAGAATGTTTTTAAAAAAAAAAAAGTTTGGTGGAAAATGCAAGCTTTGGTCTCAGGCATGTTGGGTCACCAAAGCTGTATTTCAGATTAGGCATACCACCTTCAAGTAGGTGGCATACCACCTTCTGGACTCAAGACAGACAAGGGTTAAGACATTAACATACCATTCCAAGTCGAACTTGTCCATGGTGTTCATAGAGTCTAATAAAACACAAAAGGATTTAAGTAAGATGTAAATTAATGAATGGTTCCTAAAGCAGAAGTCTGGAACAAGTCCAGTACCAGCAAATATGAAGCAGTAACAAAACACAGACACTTATTTACACTGAAAAAAAGACAATTTAATTACAAACAGATTTCATGCCTCACAGAAAACAAACAAAACCTATTTCTTACTACCGGGTTCAATGGAACTTTAAAATTTTATCCAAATTTGAATATTTTAACATAATCTGAAATAAAACAAATCTAGATTTTATCTAGCAATTTTTCTGACACCTGGAAATACAAATCTGGTGCCATGATACCAAAACCCAGCTTGAAGCACGATTTCTATATTAAAAAAGCGTTGAAGGATTTTTCTCTAAGCAGTGCGAATTGCAATTACAGTGCTCTGCACTGTGTGTCATCAGATCAAGACCTCGCCTCTTTAGCTAGGCTACATCTAGGCTATCAAGGCTGTATACATTCAGTCTTAGGATTAAAGGTAAAAATACGTTTTACTATTTTTCTGGCACAATTAATAAGTAGCAGGCAAGAAGCACGCATCTGGAGCTCTGAAGAGGTAAGGACACAAAAATATACTGCAGGTGTGCCGACATGCTTACTCAACCTGGAGGACCCAGTTTCAGAATGATTAAGCCCTTATAACTGACCAACCAGTAGTACGCGGAGGCTTGTGGTCACGCACAGTACCTTTTCCTCTTCGCCTTGAAAAGAATGTCGTCGATGGTGGCTTTCAGCGATCCGGATTCATCTTCTTTAAGAATTTCCCTACGCAAAACAGACTGTTACTGAGCCGAAGGGAGGTTTTCCTCGTCTTTCACCAACGAGGAGGTGAGGAGGGAAAGGGAAAGCCTACCATGTCCTTTCGTAGCCTCCCTCCCAGCGCTTGGTCCGTTCGGGTTCGTCATCCATCTCCGCGGCTTGGCTCTGCCGCTGCGGAGGGCAGCGACGGCCGCGCTCCTCGCGACACCGAAAGCCGCTGGCCCCGGCCGGGGAGGCGCAACTCCCGCCTGAAGGGAAGCCCCGTTACAGTGCCACACGCCGGGTGAAGGGGCTGCCAGGCGGGCCCGGCTCCAGGCGGGCCGCCGGCGACTGGCAGGGCTGAGGGCAACCGAGCCC